AGGCGGACTTTGCACAGACACGCCCCCGCACTGATTAATGATAGGGCAGTGAATTTGTTTTACTTTTATGTTAAACAGTTATAGTTTTTAATTACAAGTATTATGTTGTTTTAGAAATCTGCAAGTTATTTTCAAAAAAGTTCTCCATTGACGTTGCTGAAGGAGGCAAGATAAAGAAACATTCCAGAAGTGAGTTTAACTTCGAGGCTGTCACGCAGAAGTTTCAGGTGAGCGAGATTTTAACCTCAGGTACACAATATATCTATACTTTTATACAAATGTAATAAAGTGTAAACACTCATTACTTAGTTACCTAGGATGTCAGCAATTAGAGTACGTTTTTGAATAATTACTTTTTTTAATAAAAAGCCCTACACTTACGACAGAAATGAATGATGATATGACAGGAATGAATGATTTGGAAAAAACTTTATATGGGAAAGGTAGAAAATTAATAAGTTGACTACGTCAAGAAAGCAAGGTAACCATGGTAACAGTTATTATTATCCAATGACAAAGACCTTGGTTGTCATTTGTACATTTAAATTTTGACAAATGTAAGTAATAAAATAAACTTTTTATTATTTCAAGTCGCTTGAGAACAGGAATGTGTGAATAATGTGTTATGTGTCAGGCGATGTCAATGTACGAGCAAGGCGCGGTGTCGTGGGCGGTGGGCGGCGCGGTGTGCGAGGCGCTGGCCGCGTACGCCGCCGCCGCCACCACCTACCTGCCGCAGCCCGAGCACGTCGCCTTCGCACTCGACCTCATGGAGATCGCGCTCAACGTGCACGGCCTCATTGAAACTTGCATACAGGTATGTACCTCGACCTCCCTGTAACACGCCGGATAACTTAAAAATGACGCCACTGTCAGATAATGTAACAAAATCCGATATTTCCATCACATATTTCACATGTTGGATTGTTATCAGACAATTTACAATTTGTTAGGATAGGCCCAAAAAATCATTAGATCTTAGACTTCTGTTTATATATCTCAAGCTTTTGCTTGTGTAGAATTAAATAAATAACTTTTTAAGTGGTCTATGTGTTCTTCCAGGCTATGTTTTACTGTTCCAAATTTTTTCTTAATCTGTTGAACCATTCTATATATGGTTCATACAACCGATACATACATAAACTCCATCCAGACAACCTCCAAATTTATAACTTGCAGGTATTAAAAGAGCTGTCAGAAGTGGAAGGCGCGTTGATAACTCGCGGCGCGCCCAGCAGCGGGCTGGCGGCGCCGCGCGCCTACACCTCCGCGCTGGCGCTCTGCACCGTGGGCGCGCTTAGGCGATACCACTCCTGTTTACTATGTAAGTATTTTCTATCCATTCGTGACTGACGCTTTTCGCTAATAACTTACTGTTACATAGTTGAAATTAGTTTCGAGGAAAACATCGTTATGCAACCTTCACATATTTGCGTAGAAATTCGAAAACATTTATGAAGTCAACCCGCGGTGGATCAGCGTGGTTTACTATTTTTAAACAATTAATATAATTATAACTAGCGATATTAATTTAAACATTCAACTAGCAATGTCAATACGTC